CAGGACGGTCTTGATCTCCTGACCTTGTGATCCACCCACCTTGGCCTCCCAAAGTGCTGGGATTACAGGTGTGAGCCACCGCACCCAGCCTATTTTTAAATTTTTTAAACTTTCCATTTTGAAGTAATTTCACACAAAATAGTTGCCACATGGTACATAGATTTTTCTTATATCCTTTACCCAAGTTCCCCAAATATTTACCCTTTGAAAATTGATTATATAAGTGATTTTGTTTCATCTGTTTCAGTATATTCGGGATCAACAGATTTTGATGTAATAAAAGATTTTTAATATTAATTCAGTATAGCATCAGCATTATTTAAAACCTAGCTGGCAGTAAGCTTTGTTTTATCATCTTTTTGCCATCTTCTTAGTCCATAAGGCAGATGACCATCAAGAGAGGGACACAACGCCCAGCACATTTTTCTAGAGAGGAACTGGGCTCCCCTGTTTATTTTGAAGTGTTGAACCTATGAAAAAGTTAGAAGAATAGTACAGTGAGGAGCACCCATGTAGCCTACCCTAGATTTGAGATAGTCTTGCTCTCTTGCCCAAGCTGTAGTGCTGTGGCATGATATGGCTCACCGCAACCTCTGCCATCCAGGATCCAGCCACCAAGTACCAGGGATTACAGGCTTGAGCTACCACGCTGAGCTAATTTTTGTATTTTTAGTAGAGTTGGGGTTTTGCCATACTGGACAGGCTGATCTCAAACTCCTGGCCTCAAATGATCTACCCATCTCTGCCTCCCAAATTGGTAGGATTGTAGGAGCAAGGCACCATGCCTGGCCTTGCTGACATTTTTTCCCTGAGCTTTTTGTTTTTGTTTGTTTGTTTGCAGACAGGGTCTTAACACTGTTGCCCAGGGTGGAGTGCGGTGGCATGATGTCATCTCACTGCAGCTTAGAACTCTGAACTCTGGCACAAGTGGTCCTCCTACCTCAGCCTCCTGAGTAGCCTGGACTAAAGGTGTGTGCCACCACACCAGGCTAATTTTTTTTATGTATTTGTAGAGACAGGGTTTTGTCATGGTGCCCAGGCTGGTTTTGAACTCCTGAGCTCAAGTGATCTGCCTACCTCAGCCTCCCAAAGTGCTGTAATTACAGGCATGAGCCACCATGCCTGGCCATTATTCACTTTTAATTGAACAAATTTAATATTGTGGATAAACTCCTCAGGCCTTGTAGATGACATATTTCTTTCCAGGCCAGGTATTCTTTATTGACCCTCTTTAAGGGTTCTATTATGATTGGAGAATATTAAATTATTGATAGGAACCTGTGCAACCAGCTGTCACCTCCTCAGAGTGAAAACTTCTTGTATACCCCAAACTACAATAGCTGCCTGCTCCTCTCCACCCCAGTCCCTATCCCTCCTGTGTTCCTGTTTTTTTCCAGTACTTCACACTACTTGTGTTTATTTATTTGTGTATGTATTTTTTGGTTACCCTTCTCCAAAATGCAAGCTCCTTGCCCTATTTGCTCTTGGGTTCCTAGTGCCTAGAAGAGTGCTCAGTCGGTATTGTTGGACGAACATTTGATCCAGTTTTGGTCAGTCTGGAAATGCTCTGGATACTTAGTTGGAATTGTCATCTTCAGGGAGTTGGGTTTTGCGTTTATTTACAGGTGTAGGCCCTGCTTCCGTGATGGTTGGGAATCTGGTTGCTGGAAAACGCATAGCACAAGCTGCTGGAAGGGATCTGGGACAAATAGAAGAAAATGATTTGGTGAGGAAGGTAAGTGTTCCTGAAGTGTTGCAAAGGACAGAATTTGCACTCAATTCTGGACAGAATTTTCATTGCAGGTAGCAGCTGGGGGATGCATTATATGACTTGTTATATGTTGCTGACCCTGAGCCCTTTTTCTGCTTTATGAATTCAGCACCAGTTTCTGGCAGAGATCTTACAGTGGCGAGCCCAGGCGACTCCTGACCATGTACTCTTCATGCTGTTAAATGCCAAGGTATTAAAAATGCAATGGTATATCTAATCAGCTGACTACCATAGGAGTATCTTAGGGGCTCTTTATCTCTTTCATCAGAAAATTTCTGTTGTCACCTCTGAGGAAGAGTTATAGCTTTCTCCTTGCTTTGACATATGAGGATAAACTGCAATCACTTTAAGGTTGGAATGAAACCTCCTAGAGTGCTATATAATACCTTCTTTTCTTATGGTACAGTCACATCTTTATTCAATTCTGATAGGAAAAATGGAGCCAACAATGCAATTACATAGATACATAGATGTTCAGAATGCATTATGTCATGACAGTTTTTTTTAACCCAATTGGACTTTTAATTCTTGGATTTCTGCTAGGAAGAAAATGACCTTAGACCAGCATTTTAAAAACCTAAGTTATTTCTGGTACTTAATTCATAATTAAATGATTTATTGCTAACAGACAAAAAGAGTACATTTAACTACTGGCTTCCCATGGATGGTTCATTATAATATTGTATTTTAGGACTGGGCGTGGTGGCTCATACCTGTAATCCTAATACTTTGGGAGGCTGAGGCAGTAGGTCACTTGAGGTTAAGAGTTCAAGACCAGCCTGGTCAACATGGCGAAGCCCTGTTTCTGCTAAAAATACAAAAATCAGCCAGGCGTGGCGGCAGGTATCTGTAATTTCAGCTACTCAGGAAGCTGAGGCAGGAGAATCACTTCAACCCTGGAGGCAGAGGTTGTAGTGAGCCAAAATTGCACCATTGCACTTCAGCCTGGGCAACAGAGTGAGACTCTGTCTCAAA